CTTCGCGGGTCCGAAGGGAATGAGGCAATATTCTGTGGGTTTTCAATACAGACTGTTTGATGAGTACTCCTTGCAGCTTGATTGATTCCTTAGTTGAAGGGACAGGTGTCACATCAGAGCATAAGTAAGAAGCCACCAGTGGCTGGAGTTTGTCCAGGGCCGAGGCCTGGGACACAGAGTCGGCTTGAGCCTGCTGTTGCTGCTGTTCCTGGTCGCCACCACAAAAGTCAAGAGGGCACTCTTCAGAGGCGGCCTTGCACTTAGCGGGGCCACTGCTATGGATGAGGATGTTGCTGGCGTTACCGTTGTTCTCTGCACTGTCCGGTGAGAGACTTGAGGATGGGGCAGCCAACTTGAAGCGGATGTGGTGAGCTTCGGCTGGGGCGTCGGTGAGAGCGGGCGCCATCGCAGCCATGCAGTGCAGAGGGACGGGCACCGCGGCCTGCTCCACACCACCCGCTTACTGCCCCACCTGAGGACAGCCTGGATAGAGCAAAGAGAAAATAGCGACAGAAAGAGAGGTGATACAAGAATTGAAGTTAAAGTCTAATGAACTCAAGCACACCTTAAAATCTTACATCAAAATCTGATCCTAAATGGTTTAAGAGGGTGGTGTGTGTTTTCCTATCAACAATTCACAGGTATCGTATTAGCTAGTACAGTACTGGACCCACAACCACATAGTGTAAACAAACAGATTAAAATATAAAGACATGACCTGAGACATGATTAAATATTGATTTAATACTGACCAGCAGCACTGCAAATTTTAATTTGCATTAGTTCACTCACAATTATACAGACAACAAACTAATGATGATTACTTTGACAGCCTAAAATGTTTAACAAAACTGTATACAAAATGCAGCATTTCAGTGTCAGAGGTAAGGGGACTCAAAAAGCTTGCTTTGACTTCAGTCAACACAAAAACATACTGCTGGAAACCAACACAAAAGGCAGGCTGTACTTATGTACAATAAAACATACAGCTGTAATACTTGCACTACTCGTTCTGTAGGCCTTTAGAGTGATTGGAATATTCCTAACCAACACCTCAAAAGAAAGTAGCATTTCACATTCATTTGACAAAACAAATTACAAGCAAAAAAAATAAGGCTGTTTATTCACATGCCCAACATATGGTCTTAAACAAATCTCAAGTAAAGTTCTACATCTAGTTATAGGTGCATTTGTCTACAGGGGACAGCTTCTAAAATTTTAAAAAATACCAAAAGATAAAGTGGGATGTTAACTATATGCATGAAATAATGGCAGACATTTGAGCTAAATCCCAGGCTACCTACACACACGCATATATGAAGGAGCCTTCACTATCATCTACTTATGGGGCTGCTCTTTAAACAATAAGATCTAGAAGTGATGAGACAAGAACATGAAAAGCCACTGCAAACTGCCCAAACCCCACTGTCCTACATGTGGCCTGGCATGTCAGTGTGCAGCAGAGTTCCACACAGGCACTGTAAGTAAGTGGATTTAGGCCCCAGCATTAGCCCAAACCACATGATGTCATCTTAAATACGTTCCTGTGTTCACTTCACCTGCAACTATTAAACCATACAAATTCCCTAGCGAAATTATTTTAACTTAAATGCGTAAAGGGACAAGACTGGCGGCTTTAAGGTGAAGTGTCGATTCAGCGGTTAGGCTATCATTCACAGCGGTTGCCTGTATATTCATATCAAACTTTTACAAATAATACGGGGGATAAAAGCGAGGTGCATCTCAGCGTATCGTCTGCAGGCTCAGATGAATGGGGGCTCAGTATTTCACCGCATTTTCTAGTCAGCGCGCACTACGCCATGTTGGTATTTCCGAAGCAGATTATGCAATGCAATTCATCTCCCTAAAACCACCCATTCCGCTCCAAACATACCGAGCGTGTTCATGCGTCAAGGGAGGAAATTAAATAACCACCGCTGGTAAACTATATTTCACATGCATAATACCAACAGTACCTCTGTAAACTGGCAGGCAAGGGATGCGATAAAACGTCCACATTCAACGTTAGCCAACCATAACGCAATCACCAAAATGTCCTCCTGATGTTTACAAAAACATTAGTAGTAAATATAAAAGACAGACTAGCTATATAATAATTTCATAATCTCAAAAGCCTCAGGGAAAATCTATACGGGCTGTGTTTGCGCCAGGAAAAAGCAGCAACCGATCGGCACATGAACCAAACTCCAAGCACCGAAAGATAATAATCTGACTAAACCTTGTCACTCTATACACTGCGTGCAAATTAATGCGCTCCGCTCTTGGCTAACGTTAGCCCAGGAAAGCTGCTGATGCAAGAAACACAACCTGCTCGCAAGCTAGCGTGTGGCTATCATAAACCAACTGCAGTGAAACCTAACGTTACCCTTATCAGATTATGTATCATTCTGTAGCTTTCATTTTAATACCGCAACTTGACGATATGGCTTTGGCCAAAGCAGACTTTCGGCTCCACACAAACCTCGTTAGTCAAGTAAACATTTCAGTCACCGACTACGTAACCTACGCTCACATCAGTGATAGTTTCAAGTCAATAACGCCAAGAGTTACATGTATAATACACTGCAAGCCATGGTAACACAGGTAATAACATCCAGTCACTGTAAATGTTAGTTTATCCACGACGACATGACACCTTCACTCGCTGTGCATCATAACTTATTTTAAACAACGCTTTAGGACGGATTGCACAGTGGAGACATGGTATGCATTGCAATTAGACCTAGGAAATAAACAGAGGAAGCCTGTTGTTGTACATTTGTGTCCGTCCGTTGTTTCAGATAAATACACTCGCTGGTGAGTAATGAAAAAGGTTCCGCTAATGCAGATATGTCAAAAGCTAATAAGTTGGGAGTAGACCTTGCCAGTCGAGCTAGCTCGCTAACAAAGAAAAAGGAGGAACCTACCACGTGACGAGGTTGCACTATCCGAGGGAATTTCGGCAACAATCCCCTGCAGTTTTGGTGGAAAATACCCAAGGGAGCTAAAACAAAAAAACTGGCCTTGAATCGATCACTCTGCCATTAATTAATCCAAAAATGAAACCAGATCGCCAAAAGGGGCCCGGTTCACGGAGCCTCTCGGCTTCGTTCCGGATTCAGGCAATGGGCGAATCAACGATCTACACCTTGCTCGCCAGCTAGCTCGCCTCGCCGCTATAGCGAATATAAAACAAGGCCGTGAAACAGTCCTTTCTACTCCAATTTACTTCACATGTAGGCGCTTTCGCAGCAACCCTTAAGCAAAAAATCCAATTCTCAGTAAGCGAAAGGTAATCCAAAGGACAGTTTGTCGCGAGCCCTTTTCTCTCGTTTTAGGGAGAGACGCTTAGAAAATGGCGGCTAGCTCCTCTCCCTCGGATTTGAGTCTGACAAACATTGAAGTGCTGTGTGCGTATGCGTGTGTGTTGCTTGCTGGTAGGCGGGAGACATTTCTCATAGTCACCACTAGAGTAAAGGGCAAGAAAAGAAACGACATAAAAGATCAGAAGAAGATAGCACAGGAGGGCATTGTCTTTTACATCATAGTGCAGTGGAAGTTGTGCACTTGCTACAGGTATAAACAACGCGCTGCTGGTATTTCAACTGGAAATACTGCTACTGCTGTTTACAGAGCTTCTGCAGGATACACCAGGTTAAATGTAAGACTTTACTGCCTATTTAATACCTGCTTCATCATCATACTGTCCAAATACATAGCAATATATAACATATAAGTGAACATTTGGAATAATACAGACGCTACTAGGACCGACAACGCCTAATTATTTATTATATTACACTTGTACTACTTTAAAACAATAATTCCTAATTCTATGATCAATGTTGGATTAACTACTGAGAAAAGCAGACAAATATCCAGGGACTCTAAAGTCCTAGGTTTACTCTATCATTTTAGACCTACATCATTTGCTTACACATCTGTTGGAAATTTGCTTAAGTACAATATGAACTATAACAGCTCCTCCATCTTGTGGGCTTGTGTTGTGGAGGGCCTCTGTCAAAATCTAGTTTTAAGACCTTTAACACAGTTTGTTTATTTTTGTGGATGCCTGTCTTTTTGAATTACTTACATTTTTAGTGTGTCAAGTAATTAGCACAGAAAACTTTGAAGATAAGGTCATATTGGATGTATATAAGTACTGCAACCACAATTATTTTCATTGTCAATGAATCTGACAATTATTTTCTCCAATAATCAACTGATTTACTAAATTGTAAAGGAAATGGTAAAAAAAAAGGCCAGTATTATTCTCTGAAGCCACAGTAAACATATTAACTAACTTTTTTGTCAGTCAAAAATACAAACATGTTAACTCTATCACAGACAACTGAAAAACTAGAAAATATTCATATTTGAGAAGCAGTTAAAATTTTGACATTTAAACTGAAAAAATACAATTAGTATATTGTCACAATGATTGCCAATTAATTCTTCTGTCAACTGACAAACTGATTAATCAACTGGCCCTTTCAGCTCTAGATTAGTGGTCAGTTTTTTGGTATCTGGAGAAGCATGTATAGTGTGGATCAACAACAAACTCGGACACTGGGGCCCCATAGGAGGTTACTCTGCCCATTGAGATAATCAGTTAAATAAATTAAATCTGCACAGGGATAAGCAGCAGAAGATGGATAGCTATATTAAATAGTTAAAATTGTACATTCTTTTTGGAGTTGCATAATTGATTAATTAGTCTGTCAAAAATCAATACTTTTAATAATCAACTGTCATCTTTAAGGAAATATATTGAATGTTTGCTGGTTTTAGCTGCAAAATGTAGTGGTTTATAATATACGACAGGAAATGGCATCCAAATTTTAGATTGATGGACAGTAAAAGAAAAAAAAACAAAGTAAGATACAATATTTAAGATTTGAAAAAATATATATTTAAGACTTTTTAAAACCTTCTAAGACCTTTTTTGAAGAAACTGAACAGTAGTGCTATTTAATTTAGTGAAGAAGAGTTTAGTGCTTAAGTCTGCAGATAGCATGTTGTCAGACACACAGAGTAAATATCCTACATGCTTTAAGCCACTTCGTTTGACTGTAAGAAAGGTCTTAAGTTGCATTTTATATATTAATATTTTACATTTAATCTGGTGAACACTGCAGAAACCCTGTTCTAAACATGTAAATTATGATGATAATAAATGCTGCCTGGGGGTGACTCATTATGCTCCCTATTTCTGTTAGGCATTACCAGAGTGGAGATCAACCCTGGGAGAAAACTGAGCTGAGTCAAAACTGACTGTCTCTAATGTCACTTTTGACAGGAAGTAGACCGCCCACCACTATGGCAGTCTTTGTGAAAGTGCAGCCAGTGGCCACTTGATGGAGCTGTTTGCTGCATGACTGTTAAATGCAACCATGGCCCAAATATAATGCTGCGTGAAAACGACAGCTTTGTTTTGAGCTTTTAAAGAGTTTTGTTTGTTTGTGTCAGAGGTTGGTAATTTTAGCTAGTCAGTTGTGCTGTAGTGGATTATGATGATATACAACAATACAGTATTTCATAATGCAGTACAACACCACAAACTGCAGTCTCAAAAGATATATAAAATAATTTCTTGACAGTCTCAACAAACTGTACATGCTGTATATAGAATAAACAGGGCTTGGTATTGTTTTAAACGCCTGATGATATTTTTCTTCCTGCAAAATGCTTTTCTGTTTTAACAAAAGATATTTCTTAATGTTAAATAAATGGTTGGCCTGTGTCACATTTATGTCTGTGCATAATGATGGGGACATTCTGTATGAAAACAGCGGAGTACCAGGGCCATACTGAATGATGCATCATTTCAGTTTGCATTCTGTTGACTCATTGAATACTGAGAATCATTACAAAATGTAAATTTTTTACTCCTCACTGCACTTTTTATGCTCAGGTTGGCTGCACATCCTTGAGCCCCCTTAAAACTCTTCCATTAGCATTACTTCATTCTTGAACTATTACCTGCATGCATATGTACATGCATGGTAGGGGAAGTCAGAAGTGGTTATGCTCTTCCTTCTAAATAAACTAAAATTCCAGTCCCTACTTTCTCTGAGCAGGTTTAAAGCTTTGCTGCATGGAGTCAATGCATCAAGTATTTACGTACCTGTGTCTGGTAATTTTTTATTTTCTTAAAGTTCTTAACTTTGGTCTCTTATTCAGTATGTTTTATGGGTTTTGAGTTGTATTTACGATCTAATGTTTGTTTTAACAGAGGATGGGGTTGTTATGTTTGTCATGCCTGTATTTGTGCTATCATGAATGTTGTTGCTGCCTTTCTTTTACAGGACACACTTGAAAAAGAGACTTTTGATCCCAGTTAGGTTTTCCTGGTTAAATAGAGACTATTTTCTTAAAGTTATAAATGGCCAACAGCGCATTATCAGAATACCAGCATATGTGCATAATAAAGATGTAATTATCACTATGTGTGTGCATGGATGTGTGCATGAGAGAGAGAGAACTGCCTTATACTAATTAATTATACTAAATTCATATCTACATAAAAGTCACAGGAGGCAAACCACAAATGCCAGGATCAAATACTGATGGCTTTGATAGTTATCCAATCGGCTGTGTTTCTCATCATCCACAGGTACAGGTAACTGGTAAAACCATTGATCCACCCATCTTCTTATCCTGCACCAGAGCATAGTGGCAACAGAATAAACTTTCAGCTCCCAAGCTACATCCTCAAGCTCCTCCAGGGGGATTCAGAGACCTTCACGCAGTTGCTGGGATATTTGTCTCCTCTGTGTTGGAAATACCTCCTTTTGGGTGAGTTCAGATGTCTGCAATCCACTGAGCATCCACAATATCCTTTCTTTGGATCACTATTCAGAGTCACTGAGCACAGGTGAGGACTGCTCATGAGCAATGCTCTCAGGTTCCACAAAAATAAAAATCAAAGATAAACAATAATCATTGTTTAGTAATACCTTTAACTCCATTGTGGAAATCGCTCCAGGCACCCACAAAAGGCAACTAATTTCAGCCACTTGTATCCGCAATGACATCCTTCTACTCAGAGCCACTGAGCACAGGTAAAAACTGCTTGACAGCATTACCCTCAGGCAAAAACATACAAAAAGAAAACCTAAATAACTGCTATTACTATTTAGTAATACCTTTATCTCCGTTGTTAAAATACTCCATTCAATAATCCAGTGTGCCATGATACCAGTTACCACACGTGGAAATAACATGACACCTAAAAATGAAGAGAATGAATAGATAAACATTAGTCATCATCATATTCAAACATGTAGGGACACAGTTGGGTTCAATACATAAAGTTTTTACTGTCTTAGCAGCGATGTGAGGGTTTTGCGTTCAACTGGCAGGCTAACGCTAGCTAACGTTACTTATCTACATGTTCATTGCAAATTTATAATGAAAAAGTTTTAGATGTTGAATGATGTCGACACTGAGCTTAGAAATTTATATGTTAGTTATGAAAGGGACTTCTTTGTATAATATCGTGTCAAAGAATGCCTTGACAGCGATTTTTGTGATATAATCGTACTTTCTCTAAACGCTATTTGAGAAGCTAACGTTAGCCAGACTGATGCACAGTGAGCTAACGCCGAGAGGCTAGCCAATAACATGCAACTTTTAGCTGGCAGGCTAAGCTAAGGATCGCTAGCTTGTTTGCTTCCCGATCCCATACTGACTTCTCAATGACTACCGTTTTTTGCACGTTTGGCAGAAAAGTGCATTAAAAAAATCCAACCTACATATTATGAACAGTCGAGGGTTTAACCAAAGGGATGTTTTTTCCTGGCAAGAGATGCGTTCATTAATTTTGAGAAAATAACAAGACAAAATCTTACTTACCTGCTTGTCCTGTTACTAACCGTTTACGACTTGATAACAACCCTCCCCCGCGTTGCTATTGGTCGACGCGTCTATGTGAGGCTTTCTATTGTCTCCCGCAGCTGTCAGTCTTAGCAAATGCCCATACAGCGGAAATGTGGAACGAAAGTTCATAGCACGAAACTTCATTATCCAAATATATTGTTTTCCTATGAAAATGTTTTATTGACTCTCACAACCATCCCTTTATTAATGACTACTTACTCTTACTGTGCCATAATGTGGCTGTTATTTGCACCGCACGCATGCTAGCTACTCGCACGCCTGATGTGTTTTCACTCAAGAGTAACTGATATAAAATAATTTTACAGCAGTCTTTGGGGCCCACGTAGCCTATAAATGAACCCCGGATATTAACTCCGCAATGCAAATCACAAGCAGATAATACCGATTACTGCAAATGAGTTTCTATCTTATTGTTTGCATCTAATGCTAATCTAATCTAATGCTGGTGGAATGAAATTTGAATCGCCTGGGTCTCCCAGTTTGTCTCCAAAAACGACTCTGGACACAATAGGAAGCATCTCTTTACTAGAGAGGAGTTTAAGCTGGAGCTGGTGAGACAGGTGATAGGTGCAGTGTTGTGAAATATGGAGGATTTTGCATTGCAGTGAGGCAGTTAAATAACGAAAGACTGAACATTTCTCCGCATAGTGGCAGTAATGCTCGAGTCTGACATTTTTATATCACCTCTTCAGTTTAGATCCTGAATGAAAATGCCTGGCACCACAGGTCAATGGCAGCATAGCAGGCCTGAATTAGAACAATGGATTTTTACATGTAGAGCGATAGTAGCCACAAACAGATGATGGAAACCTCAGAGTAAGAGCTCATTCATTCAAAATTTACTATAGGCTGTTTTATTCATAATAAAGGAAGTATTTGAATATCTTAATGAAGTAAAAGTACTAATACCACATTGTACAAATACTCAACTGCAAGTACAACTATGTAAATATAATTAGAAAAATGTACTTGAAAGAAATCGGCGGTGAAAAATGGTCCCTTTTATTACATATATTATTATTACTCATGTATCCATGTGTAAGCAACATTTTGTTTTGCAGTTGTTTGAGGTGGATGCCATTTTAAACAAATTTAATAACAATTACTTTTATTAATCTGATACTGAAAATACTGCATTGATAATAGGGAAAGCAAAATGCCTTTGTCAGGGTCAGGCTTCATGCCAAAATGCATTGGTCTTCTTATTAAAGTTGTTCAAAACACGGCAAGTGTTGCTGGACTGTTTTTTTTTTTGTTTGTTTGTTTGTTTGTTTTTGTTTTGTCTGTGCACATCGACAGTGTTCCAGAATGTTCTGCTGTAATCTTGCCACCTTGCAGGATAAATGAAAGGTGTTTCCACATTTACAAATGCCAGCTTTTAAGGAACTGTCTTCATGAGTACATGTAGGTTTTAATATTTCATGATAATGTCCTCAACATTGACGTTATGAACATTGTTCTTATAAATACATGGTATGTGTCTTCCATGTTTCATTTGATGTTATAGTAGAATGCAGCCATAGAAGAGCGTTTTGTTTGTGATAATTTGTGAATTTAGTTTGACAAAAGAGGTGGGGAAAGGCGCCATGAGGAGACAAACATTCCCATAGCTGTTTGATGTTCTTGAACTGTGATGCAAACATTTTCAGCATATTCTTGTTGTTACTGCTCCATATTTTAAATATTACTGGCACTGTCTTCTCTGCTTTATTTATTATATCACCTTCAGGTCACGAGAACATCCATTTACCATACACAAAACTGATTTCTTGTCTCTTCCTTACTCCTCTCTTTATTTTTGACTCATACTCATCATTCCCACAACCTCTCCATCTTTATTTCAGCTCATCCCTCAGCACAGCTTCACCCATGATCTTTAGTGGCATCCAAAGTGACTGTATTACACTATAGAGTGTGGATTTGTAGGAGGGTGGTGTTGAGAGGTCAGATACAACCTTAGGTCAGATGGATTCCCTTTTTAACAAGCTGTAATCCTGATTGCAGGTTCCTCCTCCTCACCTCTAAATTTCTGTAGACCTTGTGTTAATTTTGCCTCCAGATAGAAAACTCAAAATTAAAGGACTAAAAACCCAGAGGGAACACATAAATGTAGGTGTAGTAAAACAACAGTAGATGGAGCTAAAACACCACAGTCAACACCATCATGACACATCACCATCTGTTATTGCAGCTTCTAGTATTTATGTCCAATATTGTCAACAATGATAAAAGACATTATATTACCACTGTTTTACTAAATTATCTAATATCTGATTGTACAGCAACCTCCACATATGGGCACTCATGGGATGTGTCATAGGCGATGACAAATACATTAACACTTAAATGTTGACTCAAATGTTTATTAGATGACTTAGAAAGTGTTACCATATTTCCTTTATGTAAGCTTGAAACCCAACAATGCTAAACATCTCCTATATATTGCACTTGTGATGCAAGGTGTTAAAAACCCCACCCAAAGACAGTTTTCAGCTTCTGCAGTGCACTATTAATAGTGGGATATTTACACACAAGCTGCTTATCAAATGAGTTTTATTCCTATTAATGATATTTTCAGCACATTGACTGTCCTCACTGTCCTCCTCATGTGGGATCATCAAATTAGTGAGACAATAATACATGCTCCCACCAGCATAACAATGTGTGCATCATATTATGTAGTAGGTTTGGTCCCAGGAGGCAAAGCAATAGTAGAGAATTTAACAGATTGAATGCAGAATAGATAACACAAAAGTCCCACAGCAGGTATATACAAAGCAAGTAACGCTTAACAGGTTCACCAGATGAGTAACATAATTCTTCTAACAAGTACAGAAGATGATATTTGCCCCTAACAAGTTTACAGAAACTCAGTAAGGTAGATTGAGAGACTTTCCCAGGAAAAACAAATAAAGGTAATGTATATCTAAGGTGATTTTAACATAGATGGAAAAGAAAACAGACACTCAGGCAAGTAACCTTGACAATGGAACTGTAACTTCTCAGGTGGGTACAAACTCAGATAGCAGCTTCTTTTCACAGGTGACACCTAACAAGCTCATGTAGGCAACATCACAATTAATTCAGATGTAGGCATGAGCACAGGTAAGTAAGCCTCTCATTTGGTCAGAACGTGAACACAGGTGAGTACAGTCAAAAGTGGCGAACACATGGTGCATGGAGGACTGATTCGTAGGCACTCTGATGGTGAGTGAGGTGAATATAAAGGGTTGAACCAGGCAGACAATGAGCAACAGGTGAATGTCTTCAAAGGTAAACAATGGCCAGAGTAAAGCTAGGGCAGGTGAGGGTAGCATGAGACAGGAATTTACTTCAAAATAAAAGTCAAAACAGGAAGTGGACAGGAATCAAGACAGTTACATCTATTTCCTTATATATAGACATATTATGAAATGTTATGATCTTTGAGAGAAAAAAAAGATTAATGCGATTGCACAGCAGGACTTTGTATGAACCAGTGGAGAAGTTCAAAGTATATCAAGTACCACAAGCAGAAGTATTATGCAAAATTGTCAGTTTCTGCAGAATATATTCCTAAATATTGTATTATAATTACTGATGTGTAAATTTGTATACCATCTATACTCTCATGTATGTTAGTCTTTGATAATATATTATTTTTAAACTAAATCAGCTTCTCTTCAGTTTCGCCTTCTCTTCAGTGTCTACACTGACAACTGCATCTCCAGAGAGTCGATTATGAAGATCCTGAAGTTTGCAGATGACACCACTGTGGTTTGTCTCCTAGCTGGTGGTGCTGAGTCTGCTTGCTGAGAAGAAGTTGAACAGCTGGTATCCTGGGCCAAACTCCTACATATATTCAGGACAGTGAAGCGGATCATTGACTGTAGTCTGCCAGCACTTCAGGACATCTACAATAGCAGAGTTACAAAGCAACTGGTTGGACTGTAGCTGACCCCTCTCATCCTGGACATCACCTCCTCCAGCCTTTTCCATCTGCTAGAAGATTCAGGACCATCAAGGCAGCACAGGTTTTTCATTTTGTTTCCCCATTAACTCTATAATTAAACTCACTGTATTGCACACAGTCTGATAGCATATGATTACATCTATATTCTGTATCATCTCATTCCAGCTCTTCAGTGAAGCTATACCATGGGTAATTAATCAAACCCACGACTCCATCTTTTTAAACACAGTGCCACTCAGTCAAATGGAAACAGGCCTTATGCATCATTGTTCATACATTTCCTCAACCTTTGTCCTGACATATTTGTTATTTTTGGAGACTAAACTAGAAAACAAAGTTCTCCAAATCTAAACAATCTTTGGCTGCACAGCATGGGTTTGTATTGACTGACCCACTGTCAGGTCAGAGAGCTTTAAGAGGTTGGTGAACATGTTGAAGTATTGACCCTACTCTGACTGATTTGTTGAATTGCATTGCTGTAAAAGTGGAGACAGCTTTACGCTCTGACAGGGGCACAGCCTCTTCCCTAAATACACCACACTAATAGAACAGCAGACAAACAGTCATTACAATCAGAGCGAGTGTTTGTGAAGCTAATGAGACTAAAGTTTAATCAGTAACTGAAGATGAATTCTCCCAAAGAAAAGCTGAAGAACTCCATTTGACAGCAGCACCGGTCCAGTTAGCACTAAGAGCCCTATGACAGCATATATTGTGATTGTGTTATGCTGGAAATCGCCACAATGCTGTCATAGTCAGTTCTTGCAACTTGAGTTTCTTTCTGTTGTTTCTTTTGCTGTGCTTTGGCATCACAGATTAAAGGCAAGAAAACTCCACTCCTTTTCCTTGTCATGGCAGAAAATAGTGAATGTTCACTCGGGCAGAAGGCTCTTACTTAAAAGCTGCTGTTCAGCCGTGCTCCCCTGACACACACACACACACACACACACACACAATTTAAAAGGATCACACGATGCACACAGTGTATTTCTTGCTTGCTTTTGTCTCAGGGGGCTGTGGAAACAAATGGCAGTGTGATCCTGCCTTTAAAGCCAGTACCCGACAACAGTAGTTGACTGCATTTGTGTATTTTTTATGGAAACTAAATTATGTTGTCTTGTATATAAAATGCGTTTTATAAATAAACTTAATATTACAGCATGGTTAAATTTTCATTCAGTCAAATGCAACACAATTTATTATCTCTTGACATCTTTTCAAGTATGAAAATAACAATGCTGAAAATAAATAACAATAAATAATATTGTGAATTACATTTGGAGTGACCATATGTGCCAGAAAACAATGAAGTCTTCAGTAATTGTTTCTCTTTGTCTGATCCATAGACTGTATATAAAGATGGATAACATGTCATCACTACCTGCCACTATAGAAAAGTGAAGCCAAAGTATCACAGATACTTATGCAACCAGATTGTGTGCAGTAGAGACCAGCCATGGAGCTGCAATATCAAAGCAGTCAATCATCCAAAATAAATTAACTTTAAAATGACGAGCATGATAATATCTACCTGAAATGATAGAATTTACCTATGGGAAAAATGTATTTGATTTGTATTTTTATTTTACTTTGGTTCCTGTCCCATTCACTAACAACAAGGGGGCAGGGTTTATGACCTATACTGTAAACAGCCACTTGTGGAGACCGACTGGGAGCTGTTACATCATCCATCTTTATATCCAGTCTATCCTCTGACCTATTTTTTTAAGCAGTGATTGAATGACAACATGTCGTCCACATCCCTTGCTCCTTTCTCTTGCAGACATTAAACATTTCATAATTGATGTAGCATTACATTTTCTCATTGGGTAGCTTTCTTTACTTGGCAAGGTGCATGATATCTGGGGTTTTCTGTCATCTGAGCACATCTCCACACCTCCAGTCACTCTGGAAGCAGCCACACACTCTGCTTAATTACAACAGATGACTAACATTAGAGTAATACACATTATCACAGTAGCATATGAAATTCATCTGTCTTGACATTTTACCACAACCAGACCATGAAAGGGGTTAAAAAACAAACAAACAAATGAACATGGTTTTAGGGCGACAGAAAGACAATGTTCATTTACAGCTTAAATAAACAGCAGTTTTTAAGAATGCACAGGTGCTAGGAATACTGGCAGAGCAGTAATTTGGACTGTGAGATGCTGATCATATGGAGAATGGGCCCATATGATTTATAGTGTGTGGTTTGTATTTTTTGGTTTATATTTGTGATGATGCCACTGGATTTGAATCCCCGTGCTCTGGTATGTATATATTTACAATAAGTTAGTAAACAAAGTTACTGAGTAGTGCCCTCGCATGTTGACCACCACAGAAAGTCACTTCATAGCTAACGCTCCTCTGTGCCTGGTGTCTTGGTAGACAGGGAGCAATAGTAAAACTTAATACTCAGCTGAAGAGTCTTGTTCCCAACATTACACATACATGAGTGTGAAAGTACATCCTGTAGAAGTCTGACAAAATAATGTCAACTCCTGGTCATCTTACTGCAGCTTCCAGTCACACACACAGTCAAATAGTAATTTTGACCACTATATACTGTGTACTACCATAAAAAACTAGCAAGTAAAACTTGATTTAAAACTGTACTACCATGTGTTTTTATTTGAACAGTGGATCAAATGAATATGTTTAATGTAACTGGTGTCACTTATATCACCTGAATCTACAGTTCCCCTCATCTCTATGGAGCGTTTTACCATCTTTCAGCTCTTTGTTTTGGTTTTTCAGCCTACAACTTTTGGTTTAGCCTCACTGCTCTCATTAGAGTTGTTTTGGTTGTTCTTTTCAGTGAATAAACTCCAAAACTCTGCAGACAGATAAAGTTAGTGACCATCCATCAAACATATAATGAAGAATTCAATGTGTTTACAGCTTGTTGTGCTGCCCCCAGGTGGCTAAAATATGGTGGCTCCAACCTTCCGTTTGGGAGACAGCTGCTCTACTCCTGAGCCACAGCCGCCCCTGTGGCTGTCAGATTACATAACCATTTGGGGGGAAATAATTACTAAAGTTAGGCAATATGTGAGAAACATACATTACTAGAGATCGGACAAGATTACTTTTTCTCGATACGATTCGATGCATGATATGGTGTGTACGATTTTATCCAATCATGATACATTTAAAAATCCAACGTGTGACTAGCTGTGGAATACTTGTACTTTATTCTTCTTTTTTTCCACTTTTCTAGCACTGGCTTGATTATGTAATGAACAACCAGATATATTGACTTACGTTCTGTTAAGCTAGCTTATTTACAAAAAATATAATAAGTCGCTCGTGTATGGAAACCACACAGTATATATCCCTAGACAAAATGATACATATTATGTGATGTTTTATATTACAATATATTTAATTTCAACATATTGCCGCATTCCTATAAATAACTACAGTATGTCCACAAAAATAATGGTTCAATGAGAAATTTTCTAAAAGCAATAGTTATGCATATAGGGAAATTTATTCACTATCCTGAGTCTCTCCAAGTCCAAAAATACGCACACAAAATGCTACAGAACATAAATGCAACTATGACAATGTGTGGTTTGAGGGAGGGTTATGTAGTGTAACTATTATGTAAGCATAGTTTTGGATACTGGGCAAAGCCAGGCTAGCTGTTCCCTCAGCTTCCAGTCTTTATGCTAAGCTAAGCTAAATGCCTCCTGGAGCTCGCTCCATGCTTAATGCACTGACATGAGAGTGGTATCAATCTCCTCACATAATCCTTGGAAAGAAAACAAATCAATAACCCATCATGTTGAAGGGTTATTGATTTGGCATATGATTTGACATGGTAGGCATTATTTCAAAACAAATCCCTTTAAGTAGAAGGTATGGAATGTGTTTATTCTTGTGGAAAGTTGATGAAATACGATAGAAGAAAACTGCACAACATCAACACTATGATCAGACTATTATTTATGGCAGCAAAATAAAAATAAAGTCTGAGTATTTCATTTTAATAACTTAGTCACCGCCCCTGTAGCATCTGAGTGCAGTGTCCACCGGGGTGGGCTCCTGGTTGGTGCAGTCCAGCAGCACAAGACCTCAGTCCTCACTGATGTAACATAAGAAAAAGTGTCCAAGCAGGAATAAAACAGAGGATCTCTATAGCGGGCAAGCAAGAAAAGATTACGGAGTGTTGTGCATTTACAGCCAAACTCAGTTTGGTCATGTGCAGCTTTTGATCCATTAACCTCTCATCTCTCTCATTCTGCAGTGTCCTTCTTCCCATCCCCATGGATTTTCTCTTGAAAGTCTGCAAAACATTCTCCTGAGGTTTAAGAAACTGATGTAGACTCTCTTGCTCTCTAGCCTTGCCCCAGCTATGAAAGCGTTTTAGTGTACTCCAGTGCTGTGGCAGAAAGCGGTGACAACGACAACTGGAGGCTCCTCCCAAAGCATGTACCTAGGGCCAAGCAGGTTTCCTCTTTCATAGTGACGTAGACTGTTTGATGCTGTGGAAGCTGACACGCGAAGGTGAAGTGGGGATGGACATAGCCTGGGTCATCCTGGCTCGAATGGAGTGCTGCTCCTGCCACCGGTGGAATCGCTTCCTCACAGCCGAACGCACCTGCCAACAACATACCCACCAATAGAGCAGTCAGCTGACAGGCTGCTAATGAGTTAACTCACAAGAACACTGCTCATGTAGTTCTGGGTACAATGTTTTGACTGATAATAATATATGTTATACATGTTAACATGCAGCGTATGTGGATGCTAAAATCCAACCGAAAAAAAATAGATAAAATGTTGAGTAGCAAAAATAAAAATTTTGATTTTATTATAAGATACTCAGTCAAAATTGTGTACAAGTAAAAATTGTGGCTTTTCAAAATTAAGCCATCTTTAGGACTTATCATGCCCCATTATAACTGAATATTTTATGTTTGACTTAGTAAGTCTCATGAATTACCATAAGGATTTTTATTTGTATTATTTGTTTCGCTTGAATTAATTAATTAAAATATCAATTAATTTAACATTAAATTTTTCTTATAAATCAGACTCTGCAATGTACTATTGAATCTACAATTCCTGTTTCCTAATGGTAACACCAAGCCATGCATCATTTTAATGATGATTAAAATGATCCTCCTCTCTCATCACAACCCAAAAAAATTAATCATCCCAGGTGTCCCACTTTTGTACATCCTCAGTGTCCATAGGATAGTTTAAAAGGAAGAGCTTTAATCTAAAATGCTGCTCCACATAAAATACCAAAACCTTATTTTAACACACTTCACATTTTACAGATCAGTTCATCACCATATTAATCATTTTGACTGGTGTCCTGTGACCCACAGGAAGATGATATAATACCGAGCACGGCTTAGAGCTAAATGTTTTCCTTTTCCTTTGAATGTGGCCGTGGGTATCCCATGTTCATCTGTCTCATCTGTTCCCCCTGTTTTCTCTGCTACTCTCAGCCTGGAACAAAGCATTAAATCAATATCCTCTGTGAGATACACAAGCCCCTCGTTAGAGCAATAGCACCGTTCATGATGAAATAGTCATTTATCATCCAGCTGGCCAACGCAGCGTGGGACGGTGCACAAAGGACAGCGGTCAGCTTGTGCCACATCTACGTGGTACTCAAGAAGTAACTTCATGCCATAAGGTCATGATTATACTATGATAAAATGAGTGTTGAGTGAAATGTTTCATTATAATTCAGATGACAAACCAGCAGGTTGTCTTAGAAGATCTAACATGATCCTCATCTTCAGACTGGAAAGGAGTAAAATCATTTGCACCCAGTTTCTGGCTCAGGTGGCACTATTAGGGTCCGTTTAGTGACATCAGGTCATTTTTCACAGGTTGGAATCCAAGCCAAAACTGTATTGATTGAACCTTTGGAGAGCATGATGGGATGGTTCATTTAAAAAAAAAGAAGTACCAAGATACTGTTTCTGAGAACCTGTGAAAATCTATTTTCTCAATCAGCTTCCACATGCGAGATGAGGTACGGGAACATAAAAGTTCAAACTGCTTTGTTTCACTCATGTCTGAGAGTTTCTCAGTTACTCATTATTTGTCTACTATTAATCATTCATTATTGCTTGTATTTAGTAATGAATGTTTAATGTTAGGCAGAAATCTAAATAGGGAGCCACAAAGAAAAATGATAGTATTATTACAGTTATAGAATTTAGAGTATTTACTTTTGTGGTTCCACTTCCACAAACATGCTACAGTGGCAAATTTTCATGTTTTGGAAGCTTCCTCAAATTTAATTATGAATATTAATTAATAATAATTTACTTAGGTACCAGCTTTGCTTAGAGTTTTTAATGACCTCCTTTTAGCCACTGATGTAGGGAATGTACCTCTCTTGGTGTTATTGGACCTAACAGCTGCATTTGATACCATTTACCACAGTATTCAGTTCTTCGAATTAATCATTATGCTGGTATCCAGGGCACTGTATCTGAATCATATTTAGATGGGAGGAGCTTCTGGGTATGTACTGTATAAAGGACTGTACATCATTCAGTGCTAACTCTCACCTGTGGTCACCTGTTCATATTAATGATGAAAAAACTCTCCAGGTGCATGAATGAATGCATGCATGAATTAATGTTTCTGTGCTAGTCTTGTGCTATTCTGGGAGTTTCACCCCTGATTCTCCATGGAATCAAATAAGGGCTGACAGTGCCATAAAGAGTAGAAAGTGATGTCATTTATGTCGGCACATGACAAGTCTTAATTGTGCCTAAAATACAAAACGCTTCGAGCGTTACCACTTAGTTCCCTGCAAGAACCCAGAGAAACAGAGGAAACATAAAACACTGACCCAATAAGTGGATGTGAATCTGCTTACCTCACTGTTTAGGAAACAGTAAAACACTGACACAAAGAAGCCCTGAAAGGAAAAAAGGACCAAAATGTCACCAAAAACAAAGATGTTTGAAATATCAACACCTTGATCCTGCTTTAATCTCACACATTGCATTCCTTCAATCATCTTCAGAAAGCAACATAAATAATTTTGCTGTTTGTTCATTACAGTGTTTATATAAAAATATTCACCCACACAGAGGTAACATCTCTGAAAGCCTTTAGGGTGTGCAAACTTTTGTTTTGTTAGTTTGAGATAAATCATACCTGGAAGGATTCCAAAAATGAGTTAAAATATATGAAGACAATCTGAGAAATCTCATCTTCCCCTGGGTTGACAAAAAACAACATATAGGTGATTCCCAGGAGAGGAAGAAGAACCAGTGTGGCTTTCACAGCTTTCCTGCAGATGAGGAGACCACCGGTCAGACAGAAAGACACCACTGTCCCCCTTGTATCCCTTCACCACTCTCCACTGATCAAGTAGAAACATGAATTATTTATTGTGTACATACAAGAGAATCTGAAAAGTTGTCTCTCGAGTTTTGTTCTTGCAGTCACAGCAGAATACATGAAACGTACCTGTACTGGATTGTCTCCGACGTGGTGGAGGCTCGCAGCTTGGTCATCAGGATTCGCACAATGTTGAAAAGGAAAATGAAGTTGATCTGTGGGAATATTAAACAAGAATTGTTGCAGGATTTGTGATCTGAATTCCAGGCCTTTCCAAAAATGATGTCAGGAGCGTGTAGCCAAAAACAACCACATATGGAAAACGTGTCTGTACTCTGACAAAACAGCAAGGTGGCTCTTCAGATGCCAAAACTGTGAATAAATGTGTTAAAAGTGATGCAGTGAAAAAGTGAATAAAAACTTTTAACACAAATAATAAATGTACCTTTTTGCATCATTTGAGTCTCTGTTGTTTTGTCAATGTAAGGACACTTTTTCATATGTCAAAAATCAAACAAAGCAATGAGACATGCTTTATAAAGACATTCAGTGTGCATTAATTCAAGTTTCTGGCATTGATGCACCATATTAAAAGAACTGTATACAAGATCCAGAGTAGTGCCGAGTCCCTGGAATGAAGACTGCTCACTTAGCAAATTGCTAAATAATTTTTTCTGGCCTCCGGGTTTGCTTCTGCATCGTGTGGCCCACTGAACAAGCACATTAGTGTTTCCACTTGGCCCACGGGCTTTTCACTGGATGCTGCCATTCAAATAAAAACAGTTTCCTGAAAAATATTTTACAAGTGGACATTGTAAAAAAAAAAAAAAAAAAAAATTGGATTACAAATTTATAATAACTGGACTTGTTTGCAGCTGGAGGTGCAGCATAATCTTTGATTTGATTTGATTTGATTTGATTT